ACCATTGGTAAACTTTTTTTCTTTTTGGACAGCGACAACGCAAATTTTGCTGCTTCCAAGTAGGAAAATAATAAAATACAGTGACCTCCAAATGTTTTTGAACACTTTCACTATTGCTGAAGTTTTTTTTTTTCCCCTAGGTTTCTCCCCACTTTAGTCATTGCCAATTCCACCTGCTAGCTGGGTCTCTCCTACCACACAATGCTACCAGCTCTAGGATGGAGAAGGCTAGCATGTGTCTCCTCTGAGTCACGTGAAGCCAGCCAATGCATGTTTTCAAACTGCCACTAACGTAACATCATTGGACAGCTGAACATTTGGAGGAGGAGAACACTAACAGCCAATTAAGTCAGCTAACAGACACCCACATTGGCTAGCAATGTGCTGAGTGATGGAGGAGAGGGAAGGCCATCCAACCCACCCAAAGAGAGTGAGGCCAATTACGCTGTCCTGGGCTCCCAGTCATGGATAGCTGTGGCATCACCAGGGATCAAACCCACAACCTCCCAATAGTAGTATCAATGCTCAGACACTTGCACCACTCAGGTGCCTTACTATTGGAAAGTTTTAATGAAGTTCTTTAGGCTATTTCATAAAATGTTTAATAAAATGGGAGAAAAACAGAGAAAACACTTTTAGCACAACATCAAATTGATAGTAGACTCTTTGTGTGGAGAAAGCCTGGAAAAGGCTGCACTAAGAGTACTGTTTAGCAGAAAGGTGGAAATGTCAGTCTGGGGCTGTTTTTTTTACAATGCTGTCAGTGAGCTTGTGTTCATTGATGGGATCATGAACTCCGAGTGAAGACATTCTAGATGCAAACCTGCAGAAGTCAGCAAAGAAACTGCCAAAATAATAATGACTTTAAACATCATGGTATGCTAAAATAAATGGCATGTGGTTTGACATTTTGCTTCCTAACACAATGAATTTTATATCTTTTTAACTATGGCACAAACGTCCAAGTACTTTTTGGGGCCACTTTTTTCAGTACTTTCTGTACTTCTGCATTCACTCACATATTTTATGGCATTTTATGGTCAATAACACTGCAGTCAATTAATTCATTAGTAGCTATCCAGAGTATTTGGTGCTGTAATAACATGCCATAGGTCTCATCCATGAAAATACAACCAAATACCGCATACCCTCATGATGCTGTCTGTTAATGAAATCAGATTTCTCCTGGGGTGGTCAGGGAATTATTTTGAAAATGCCTGCTTTTAGTATGGTTATTAATGAAGTGGCAGATGCTGCTCGGTAACAGCTGGAAGCATTCAGACGTCTCCAAATTTCTGTCATATCTCTCTGCATGCTGTCTGCATGTAGTCTGTGTCAGAATACTTGCAAGACCATTTAACAGCACAGTTACTAAACACCACAAAAGTACAGCCTCGCAGCCTCACCACAGAACTGAATCATCACCTCTGTGACCCAATTTCAACCAAAATTTTATGGCATGAAGCTGGAATTCATGGCAGTGCTGCTGTTTGGAAACTGCTTGTATCCAAGGCCAACACACAAGACACATAGCTTAGTGTAAGGAGCATAAAATCAGAACAATGGAAAGACTAATGTGGTGTGATGAGTCTTCTTTGATACTTTTTCCTACAACACATTTTTATCCAGAAGATGACTTTAATGCCTATGGTCAGCTGGTATAGGTAGAAATCTTAATGGGAAGTTCAGGACCACAGAGTACAAAGTAGACTTCCACCTGTGTTCCTTAAATAACTGGAAGCTGTTCATCTTGAAGAATGGTTCAGTATCCCACTACATATTTCAAGCATTCTGAAGGCAAGTGTTGCCCTAATCCTTATAAGGTACTTGATTTTACAGGGCCTACATCACAGAAAAAAAAAAATTGTAGTTTTTTTTAAATAAAAGAGTATGTAAACACTGTCAAAGTTTCAAAATGTACTATTCACTGCCAAGTCCATTCAATCTACAAAGCTGCAAAACCAGTGTGTTTTGAAGTCATTGTTTTTGTGATGCCACAAAAAACAACACATACCCAACCTTTCAGTCTATACCTGTTTAGCTCTGCCCATTCATATTCAAGTTATGAGGAGCGTTCCAGCCCGGACCGCTTTTTGAATGAAGTGCAATACAGGACAGCCAATCAGAACAGAGGTCATTTACGTTTATTAGTCTTAAAGTTAGTAACACAGTAACATAAACGAAACAGGGATCAAGAGAGGCTGGAAATGTTCAGGTAAAAATAAATTATGACTTCAAACAAGACAAACAATCTCAGGGAAAAGATAAAATACAGGAAAATGTAGGATATGGGCTCTTTAATGTATCATTAGGTGTTTCTGAGGTTTATTTCTTTTCACTGCATCATGATCACTGAATCATATTTTGACCCCTTAACAAGCCGTGGGATCACTGGCAGGCCCAAAGATTTATGACACACTTCTATAACCTGAGAATAGCTCCATTAGTTTGCACTGAAGTCCCTTTAGTTACTGAATAATAAGCTTTTGTGTGAAATAAACCTGACATGTTAAGGGGTTAAAGTAATTAAATTTTCTGCAAATGCTGAAGTGCGTTTGTGTTTAGTTTAAGTGAAATGGCACACTTGTTACCTCTGGATTAAAATTATTAGATTACTAATATCAAAGTGGACACATTCACATCCCTGATTGAACCATATAGAATATCTATTAGAAGAAGATACTGTCATTATCACTGAGCTGAATATTTTTCAGTGTATGAAGTTTCCTGTGAAGTGACCTCAGCAGTCACTTAGCTACATTTGTTGTTTTATCCGTGCATTCCACATCACATCTCGGTTCATACAGATATTTATGTGTAGGATTTCTGAAGCACGCTGTGGTAATTATAACCATTTTTAAATTCTGGTTCACACTTTTTAACATTTTAATTTTGCTGTATAAGAGTTTCCCTTCTCTGAGTGTGTGGACCATCTTTGTTTTCAGGGCCATATGTAGGCTAGCGCTCTTTTGCAGTACAGAACGTCCGACATATATTTCCCAGTGTTGTCTAACTTCCTTATATTGTTCTTTATGTCTGACAAAATCTAAACAAAATTAATCACTCTCTCTCTCTCTCTCTCTCTCTCTCTCTCTCCCCCTCCCTCCCTCTCTCGTATGTCATCAACCTCATGATTCCACTGAACTAAGCACTAAACAGTACACATAAAAAAGGAAATGCAACATTTGGTTAAAATCCAAATATTTTTTGTACGTTGTTTGGGCCATGAATTTGGACCGCTGGGCATCCTCCCCTCTTCCATAACAAACCAAAAAGGCAGCAGGCACAACAGAAGGTCACCTTAACCTAAACTGGGGTAGCTATGGGCTTCCAGTCTGACAATTAACTAAGCCAATGTGTTATATATAAGCATCATACAGTGAATGAACAAGGAAATAAATTCCACAATGAGTTCAATCAGACACCAAAGACTGCTAATTTACTAAACTGGAGAAAGAGTGCTTTGAATGTAATGAAAGTCATTTAAATGTGCCAGGTCCACATGAATAAAGTGATATGGTACCACTTTATTTGAAGGCTGAATAGAGGTTTCAAAACTTAAATAACATGTAACTGAGTAATATATTCAATTAAAAAGCCACCTGAAATATTTATGAACACAACCAATTTACAAATTGCACTTGTCAATACTATGAATTATACCCTTGAACTAAAGTGGTAATGCATTTGTAGTTTATAACACTTTCATATTTATGAACTGTGTGCATTAGCCACTGTGGATAGAGATTAGATGAAGCTGAAGTTAGCTTCTTATTCTCATTTCCCGTTCCACCTGCAATGATGTAGCAGTTATGTTCCGATACATGTACAGGCACATGTAACTGCTGAACTATTTAAGGTGGAACAGAAATTCAAATAAGAAGCCAATTTCAGCCTTGAGAGATTAGCGTATCAAATTCAGCATGACTGTGTGAATCTGGCCACAGTATTATTCAGTCTAATTGAGTGAGCCAAATTTTTAATGATAATGAAATTTGATTCATTTTCTGTGCATGCTGTCATTGTATATGATCAATAAAATCATTACGCTTTCCGCCAAGCTCTTCCTTATTTTTCTCAGCCCTCAGCCCTGCTTAGCAGCATTAAGTCATCACAGGTAAGACATGAATGGACCATAAACATGTTTAATGCCCGCTGTGGCAGTATGCTTTTGCCTATGATGATCAAGTTTTTCCTCGTCTTTGCACATCTCACTTGTCTAATTTTAATTGTCATGATCCCATTCTTTGGGTCCACCAACAGTATCCATCTGCAGAGCCACAGTACCGCAAATTTATCTCCCACACTCAGACCTGCTCCCTGCGCTTCTGTTTTGGAACTGCAGCTGCACTTTCAGCTCTCATGAATGTGGGAGTAAATGGTGGACTGAACCTCAACTGCATACTCCTATTGATACAACTATTTTAACTAAGAAACAATTTGTGTTTATGGTAACATTTTGCTTATTTCAGTACTGAAGTATATTTTGGTGCTGCAAGCTGTTGCTAAGCATGCACAGGTGTAAATAATTTCTGATTATCGTTCACACAGCCAATCTCTCTGGCTCAACTGCACCACAAATGTCCTTTTTGTTTTATTACTTAGGCTGAGTCGCAAACGACTCCCTACACCCTATGTAGTGCACTACGTAGGTCTTAGAATAAAGACTCCGGCACTCAAACAAAAAAAAAAGAGTTGTGAATTTTAGCCACATCTGCACAATTCCCTACTGCGGCACTGTGGTTACATCCTTCTCACCATGGCAACAACCTCTTCTTTTGGCCTCAATGATTTCTATTAGGTTTTTTGGTTTGTTGTGTTTTTCCTCATCTTTGTAATCTCAGCTGTCTGATTTTAACTGTTGACATCTTCTCTGGGCAGAAGTGCCTCTGCTGAGCAGATACATGCCTTATAGTGAAGGGTGCTGCAATGTTTATGTTTATGTGAATCCAGCTTTCTGATTGATTGCTATTGTTTTGCATCAGGGTGGATGTGTTGGGCTATATAGCGGGTGATGTCTCCACTTCTGTCAGGAATTGGCCATAGCCAGCCTTATGTGATGACACTGAAGGACATTAGAGCATTTTAAAATTCTATCTATGAAATTGGCCTTCCCACCTTGTGTGTACGGGTGTGGGTGTGTGTGTGTGTGTGTGTGGACCAGGTTTTTGCCACATTGTGGGCACCAAAACATGTTCATGCACTTACATTGTGGGGACCTTTCAAACTGGTCCCCACTATGTAAATCATAAAATTTTAAGGCTGGAGTAAGGTTAAGCTTAGTATTAAGATTAGGCTAGTCTTAGTTCTGGTTAAGTCTCCAGGAAATGAATGGAAGTCCATGTAATGGCCCCACAATTCACAGAAAGAAGACTGTGTGTGTATGTGCTGATCCCACTCCTGCCCTGGCCACAGTTATAATCTTTCAGTTCACTCACGTTCGCCAGTCATTGCGTTGATATACATTTTATTCGTGGAACGGAACTGAATCAAATAAGTACAGACCACTATTTCTCCAGTGACGAGTAAACTGAAACCTGAAATCTAAACTTGATTGTAAACTTATGCACTGACCCACCCTGCTGGGTCTAAAGGCGGGTGCGGACACTCCCCCGTCCCCTGTGCTGGGTGCAGTTTCGCCCCTGCGCTCTGACTGGCTGCCCGCTGGTGGGTAGGAGCTCCGCTGCTCCAGCGCGTTTATAGCACTCAGGAGCGCGCGCCACAGAGAAGGAGAGGAGCGCGCGCAAAACATCTGGAAGCAAAGAGCGCGCAGCAGCAGCAGCAGCCCGAGAATGCCCTGAAGGTCCACGCCAGGAATGAGCTCATACTCACTAACCCATCACCGCGTTCACCTCGGAGCCCCGCTTTCTTCTCCTCCATGATCCACTCCTCGAACTCCACGATGGGGCGCGCGGACAACGCCTCCGCGCCCACCAACGCGAGCGACCCGTTCGGCCGTAACGAGGAGGTGGCCAAGCTGGAGATCACCGTGCTGAGCTTGACGTTCGTGGTGGCCGTGATCGGCAACGTGAGCGTGCTGGCCGCCGTGTACAACACGAAGAAGAAGACGTCGCGCATGCACCTGTTCATCAAGCACCTGAGCCTGGCCGACCTGGTGGTCGCCTTCTTCCAGGTGCTGCCGCAGCTCTGCTGGGAGGTCACGTTCCGCTTCACCGGACCCGACCTGCTGTGCCGGCTCGTCAAGCACCTGCAGGTGCTCGGCATGTTCGCCTCCACCTACATGATGGTCATGATGACGGTGGACCGCTACATCGCCATCTGCCACCCGCTGAAGACCCTGCAGCAGCCCACGCGGCGCGCCTACGCCATGATCGGCGCCACGTGGGCCAGCAGCCTGGTGCTGAGCGCGCCGCAGGCCTTCATCTTCTCCCTGAGCGAGATCCACAACGGCTCGGGCGTCTACGACTGCTGGGGCCACTTCATCGAGCCGTGGGGCATCCGCGCATACGTCACCTGGATCACCGTGGGCATCTTCCTCGTGCCCGTGCTCGTGCTCATGCTCTGCTACGGCTTCATCTGCCACAGCATCTGGAGGAACATCAAGTGCAAGACCAGGAGGAACGGGCTGGTGGGCAAGAGCTCGGTGAGCGGCGTCAGCACCATCAGCAGAGCTAAGCTGAGGACCGTGAAGATGACGCTGGTGATCGTGCTGGCGTACATCGTGTGCTGGGCGCCTTTCTTCATCGTGCAGATGTGGTCGGTGTGGGACGTGAACTTTAGCTGGCATGGTACGTGAACTATATATATATATATATATATAGAGAGAGAGAGAGAGAGAGAGAGAAAGAGAGAAAGAGAGAAAGTGCTACTGGTAGGAAAATAAGCAAAATAAGCATTTATATTTTAAGGTGCTCTGTGAAACAGGATAGGCACTCTTCTTAAATAAAAAAGCCTTTATTTTAACATTAATGCAAAGATTAAACGTCTCTCAATGCGTTATGTTTTTGGCCATAAATTAACTTAGTCACTGAATTCAACATTGGAGATTCTACAGTGTATAAAATAACTGGTTCTTCTAATTGAAGGGCTTCATTCCAAAATGCATTATAGACCCCTTTCAGTGATTTTCCTTCTTGTTTTCATGACATGTTGTTGGGAGTGAGCTTTACATATATAAGAAATATCAATGCCATGTTATGATTAATATCAGCTTTATTAGAGGAATAATAATGTGTTTTCATTATACATCAGCCCTTATTCTTTTCAAAACTCTTATAAAACTTATATCCAAAACTGTTACAAATGAATACACAGCGCACCAAAAATATTGTCTGGAAAGTATAAAAGCCTAATGTATGTATCCTCTCTGTCCCTGTCTGATTAGTCAGTGAATAATAAGGTCAATTAGGTAAATAAAGCCTGTTTGTGTAGATACGGAGGTCACTGTGATGTGATAGTTGTGTATGATGCATAGGCTGTCAGTGGAGGACAGCTGGTGAGCATAAAATGCTCCTTAAAATTCCCCACAGGCTTAGACGGAATTTGGACGCTCCTTCTCTCCTTCTTTCATGTCATTAGCTGCAAGCGAAATTAAACAAAACAAATGGCCACAGTCAGGGAAGTATTTCTATCCCATACATAACGGTTCCACCCTGCTGTAGTTGTGATCAACTGTGACTGCAAACCAGATTCTAATGATGTTATTTGCTCTCTATAAACAAACAAACAAACAAACAAATGAATGAATGAATGAATGAATGAATGAATAAATAAATAAATAAATAAATAGTTGTTGGTGTTGTTATCTCAGTAATAATAATAATAATAATAATAATAATAATAATAATAACAATAATTTTGAATTGCTCTTCATATAAGTAGTTCACCTCATCTCCTTTTATGTCTCCTCTTCACTGCACACCCAGATTCAGAGAACACCGCAGTGACTCTGTCGGCGCTGCTTGCGAGTCTGAACAGCTGTTGTAACCCCTGGATCTACATGATATTCAGCGGGCACCTCCTCCACGACTTCGCACACTGCTTTCCCTGCTACCCCAAAATACAGCACAAGTTCAAGAAAGAAGACTCAGACAGCAGCTTACGCAGAACCACAATACTGACTAAACTCCCTAACCGGAGCCCCACCTGTAGTCTGGGCAACTGGAGAGACCTTGATCAAGCCCCTAAAGCTGACCAGTCCACTCCGCTGGAAACATGACATTGTTCGTTGCCTCTGGGACTGAGAATATTGTCGTGTTGTCACAGCAGGGGCACATTTAAGGTGGTGTTGTTTTTTAAAGTCTAGTGGAGACTAAACTGAGAAGGCTGTGCAGTAAATCTCGAGTGTGGCAAAAAGCACAATAGTCATGATCACCAAACACAAGGTTTTTCCGCTGATAAGTGCCCATTTATGGGCAGGCATGGGATTTATCTGGGCTCCAGTAAGCCTGCAGGACCCTTTCAATGCCAGTAAAAATCCTGGAGCCAAGGACCAAGTCAGCTCTGCTATTCTGAGAATGGGAGTGAGTCTAAGTCAATAGATGACACTTTAGAAAAATTTGAATTCATGTTGCACAAAACTGAAAAAGTAAAAGAATGTATAGCAGGACAGATGATCAAATATGCATTGTCTTGTTTTTAAATCACTGCAGAGGGGATAAGAAGATGAAAGGATGAGCCCATGAGAAAACTGTCAGCTGTGAGCTGGAACTCAATGTTCATGTTGCTCTGAGAATTGCTGGTTGTTTACAAGGTTAGACGTGGTCACCTGGGTCAATAACCAAGTTTGAGGTGTTAGCAGATCTCTCTCTCTCTCCCTCTCTCTCTCTCTGCCCCTCTCTGTCTTTCTCTCCCCCTCTTTCTCTCTCTCTCACAGAACTTCTATACAAATTAAAGGAAACTTTTCCTTTTCCACCACATCTGTCTCTGCCCTGGCTAAGTTGACTCAGGCCTTTATTGGTTTTTAAATCATTCGTTTTTTACTATCTCCCATTCCAGCATCATCTATGCATTACTTCTGGTTACAAAACTAACTGACGTAATGTGAACACAGATGAGTCAAGGCATCTTTATTTGAGTAAACTCAAATAAAATGATTATCTTACTTTAAGACACTGTTTACAGTTAAGCTGATGTTTTCACTATGTTTTCCAGGGAGAATGTCCTGGGGATTATGATTGTAAAATCATCAAATATACATTAGCCCTGGATATGGACTTTTATTAGGAGATTTGACAGTTGTATCAGTTATAACACGATTTAAAAGCTGTTGTTGATGTACATATTGGATCTGTAAATAAATAGCCTACACAATTGCGACAAATGGAATGTTGTTTTTCTGTATATCAGATGTTGTGTTTGTATGAAATTATGTTGTCAGAAGTGTCCCATTTTTCGATGTTATCTGGATGATATAGTACAGCTCAAAGTGTTATTGATGCAGTGTCTGTTGCCTGTAATCGATTATTGCACCACTTCCCATGCATATTGATGTATCCATGTGCAAAAATCCAATAAACCACTCCGTGAAACGTCCTTTTGGATGTGCTTTTCTCAGCGTTGTGAAACAGAGTTAGCCATTGCCAGAGTTGTCCTCATTCTGGAAAGAAGAGTTAAATGTTATGGTCGCTTTTTTGATTGCTTTAAGCACTCTTTAACACTCACAATCTGGGACTGTCAAACTCCATTTCATTACTGTTCCCAGTGGAGGAAACATGTGGTACTGTAGAGTGGATGCAGCAGCACTCGGAATACTTTGACAGCAGTCAGTGTTTTTCTCAGATCTCACAATGGCTGATCAACATTTGATGCAGAATATTCAGAAAACACTGGCCTGAATAAATACAGACCTTTGTCTACAACTACCACCACCTTCCAGTATCCCACATTTCCAAGAATAGCCTGACAGTCTTCCTGTTTCTCTCACAAATTTCCTTTTTCCCAAATTAACCATGAGCTTATTCTCAACTTGCTATGATTGCACTGCCATGAGTCCAGGGAGCTGGGAAGAGCAGAGGCAGCTGTGCACGTCTGGACTTTGTGAATGTGTGCGCATACATGCAGGCGAATGGGAACGTGCGCACGAGAGAGAAAGAAAGAGGAGAAGTACAGTGGTGTAGTCTTGTCTGAAGAATTCGATATATATAATGACTATAGCTGCCTATACTCATGCACTTTTTATATACATAAACACCATTATGGGTATATAGTAACAATAATGACTGTTCTAAAAAGAAAGGTTCACCACTTTTAACATAGAACAGCAGCAAACACAATTGCAGACAGACAATAAATGCAATGAAAACAATATTATACAATACACTCTCCTGTACAATATACAATAACTACATACATACAACTATACAACCATTAAGCAAAGGTCAATAGAGAGTTGCCATTGAACAAATGGGTGGGGAAAATAGACCAACTGTTGGTGCCCAGCAGCAATAATCATTGTGCATGTATTATTATCAGTGCACTGATAATTAATAATAGTCTTAATAGTCTTAGCTCTAATGAAGAGCTAAAGAAACAAACTTTGAACACCAAGCACGTCTTGACCAATCAGCTATCCTTTTTTTCCAACCTGTTAAAGAAGATTTTCTCTTGTGCAGATATTTAATAAAGTGGTGAATTTAAGAAAAAGAACAATGTTTTAATGATAGACAGAAAAACATTTCAGAACTTTTGTTCTTCTTCTCAGAAGTCTTAAATGTGAACATTGATATGACATTACAATAAATACAGTAAAAGGTAATAAGAATTCTTTTTTAATATTCATTTTTATTAAAATCTTGCCATGGAGAATACAGTTAGAAGAACACAGGTCTGGTTAATGACTTCTCTCTCTTCACTGCAGCTATTAGACAGATTTTATTAAATTCCATCAGCAGCACCTGATTTCATTTCATGAAGAGGATTGATTAGCTGAAGCAGTATTGTATAACTGTAAATGCTGAACTTCCTCGAAAAAAGGTCTGGAGATGATTGAACAAACACCCTAACGCACATCAAATCACAATGTATTGTGTATTTGTTTATTTATAAATACTTCCTAAATGCTCAGATAAACAGCTTTACATATCATTTTGTGAGATGATTAAAACTTTTGCACAGTACTGGGTACCTAGGACTCTTCAGTACTGTGATGTTGATGCAGTGTCTGTATAGCGGGCACTGACCAGAATTAATATCAGCCAAATAAAACCCAGTGTCTACTGATAAAATCGTAGAGAAAATGTCAATACACAGCTGTAGAGAATTCTCATATTGTGGACAGTTCTCATATCAATAGGTGGAGTATGATTGTTATAGATGGAGCTACATGAATGATTGGATGATCCCCAAAGGTCAGCAGCACTGTCTGCCAGACTCAATATATGACATGGCTAACAAATTTTGATCCAGTGTTCATGAAACTTTTTTTTTGTCTTTTCCAAAACGTTTACAAATAACTGGCAGCACATTTACATTCAGGCAGGTTAATACCTCCACTAAGTGTTTTCTAATTAACTTAGAAAGAGGTTAGTGACCTCCAGTCTCTAGCACTCTATAAGTGGCAGTACATTTCATTTCAGTTCACACATTGCTCGATGCCTTGCTGTTAGAAGAAATACATTCTCTTATCAGATTTTGGCTCATTCTCTATCACTGATGAAAACATCACTGTTAGCTTCAGTAGCTTGCAGTAGAGGTGGGCGATATGGAGAAAACATAATATCACAATTCTTTATAAAATTATCTTCATACATGATATGTAATGATATTCACTGAGCTGCACTAAATCTGAAATAAAAACAGGACTAAATATTCTCTCTTTTCAATTAAACATGCATATAGAAGTACTGACAATGCCCATAATATGCTGTGAAAAGCATATTGTGGTGTAATTCATTGCAATAGCGATAAGTGTTGTCATATTACCCACCCCTAACCTACTGATGATAGTCCCTGTGGTGTCTTCCAATAAGTAGAGCACTCGGCTCAGGGGTTCCCATAGTCTGTCATGGAAATCTAACACTTGAAGGGTTTGTAAATTAATGAGTTAAATCAAGTGTGCTAGAAGTTATGCACATTTTTGTTTCAGTTAATTCATCATATTTCTTTCATGTTGTCGCTGTCCAAAGAAAACCATGTATCTCCATTTTCGTCATTTTTTATTTTTCTACACCATGTTAACACGCCAGCTGTCCTTTACGCTGTGTGTTAACCTACATTGAAAGGTAAGAGTGTCTTTGCCTGCTCCTGTAAAGTTACTATTTTAGAGATACTTGTTTTTCTTTGGCCAGTGATGATATATAAGATCTCACATACAGTACAGTCTGGCCATGACTGTCTAATCATTGGTAATTTTTTAGTTCCTAAAAGCAAATTTTAGAGGTTTTCTAGAGGGAATTAGAGCATCACAGGGCCTGCACCATTGCTCAGGTGTGTGTGCGGGGGTGGGGGGCAGGTTGGGGGAGGTGGTCTATGTAAGTCTTTTTGAGAAATGGTTCATTAGGCTAGTCTGTTATCAGCATTTCCCTCCTCCATTACTGACCCTAATAAAATCCAGGCATCAAACCCCACAGTCAGTCAGTTTCAGCAACAAACAAAGTAAAGCTAATGAGATTTAGGCTATGCTATTCGCCAAGTACTCAATTCCAAGTATTCTGAAGTCACAGTCTCTGATTTCAGAATAATCTGTGGAAGTTATTGTTTGTTAAAAAAATGATTGAATTGATTGCAGTGGTCTTCTCTTTTAGACCCCTGTAATCAAGCATGCGCTTGTGAAGTCAGGGCTTGATTATATTCCATTAAACAAATTTTATAAATCACTGATTCTCTCTATTGAATGAAAGTTCTTATTGTGTGCGCTATTTTATTGACTGTTCTCTGGGCCCGAGGCTGGACAAAACCTATACGCTATTCACATTTCACTGCTCAGCCTATTGTTCAAGAACAAAGGCTACAGCACGTCTCAGTTTTCAAGCCTTTGTTCCTAGAACTCAGCACATAGAACAGGAAAATTGCTGTCAGATCACTTTGGCTCTTGGTCTTGTAAGGTAAAGTTGAAACAGAGAGCAAAATGTAAGTCAGAAAGATCGCAGACTACTTTAATCCCAGGGAAAGATGAGATGGAAGGTAAGGCAGAAAAATGCAGAGGGATTGCAGAGGAATCCTTTATCTGAAACGGGGAAAAGATTTCAAAAACAGGCTTCACTCTCAAGTGTTTGACTTACAACTCATCATTTGCACAGTTTGTACAAGTTATGAAGTCAGACATGGATTAGGCTAAGTTCTTTATTGTCAGTGCACAAACAGAGCCATGCATTTCCAAAACAAACACTTTTTCATATAAAATGTTGACTTCAGTTAGTGCTTTTATGACAATCATTGTTTTTATTTCTATCCAGTATTAAAGTTTCTTATTAAAATTGTTCAATGATGTAATTCAGCAGTGTCGATCATTATTTTCCCTTAAAGACCCTGGAGAACCTATATGAATGTTTTCTTTCTAAATAGATTAATTGTCCCTTACAAAAAGAAGTTTATTCAAGTGTGCTATTAGTGTACTTCTTTTGAACTAAATACAAGTGAGTGTGGCTCTCAGGTTACTTTTTAATGTACTTATCAAAGATATATTAGACAAAATTATGCTAATGTATACTTGGCTTATACCGACAAGTATGCAGAAAGGTTTAAGTATACTTAGCCTATACTTGTACTTATACATATACTTGTACATACACATAGTGGTATATACTAACATTTTTCAGTTTTTGACATAATTTGAAAATGCATGTTGCCCTTTTTATTGTGTGTAAATTTCATGATATATGGACTAAAAGAAACGGCCCAAAATGACTTGGAAAAAAGTCTAGTTCTATTGATTTATATTAAAAGTACAGTAGGTTTGTGGCCTGTACCTGTAATTATTTTAGAATATAAAATATATAATATGAAATATGCTTTCATAAACTAAAAAGTGGGCTAGAATATATATAACCAGTACATATAAGTTCACTTATAGTGTATTTCAAGGTGTAGTTAAAGTACAAAATAAAACTTAGATGTAAACTAGCTGTGCACTCACTTTTTTCAGTCCCAAAAAGTACGGAAACAGTACACTAATAAGTATACTACTAGAACATTGATATAAGTATGCGTACTACATAAAGTATACCTGGGAAATATATTGGAATTTTACTTAAGTTTACTTAAGTTAAATTAACTTTAAGTATGCTTTTTTTGTCAGGTTTGCTATCTTGGCCACACAACATATATGTGCAAAGTATGAACTATTCATCATTTTTCAGCATCCACTAAAGAGCCAGTATATTTTTGCAAAATTCTTCCTTTTTGGTGTAAACTGGGTGGTCCTAATCTTGGGTAAAGCTTGTGTAAGCATTACCTCACCAGTTACAAGCTGCGTTGTCCCATCCATACAGCTTTAACACAACTGTATTCCCCCTGTTCTCACACTCTCCTAGTCTGAACAACTCAGCTCACGAAAGCTAATGGTAGTGCAAAAGCTAACCTAGCATAT